TGTTGGGTCTGTGTTTCTACATGCCTCGCTAGTTTAGAGACTTATTCCTCATGAAGAGCAGAAAAACAAGACAGAACATCTTCAACCGGCTTTTTAACTCGCTAACGGGGGAAGTTTGGGTCAGAAACTGCTCTTGGAGCTCACGCTCCTCACCTGACTCCATACCCAAATCCTTCAAAGAGCAGCTGTCCTCGTAGCCTTTTTATTGACAAACACAGTTGCAACACACATCACAGCAAAAGCACCTCCCTCCGTAAAACCCCCCAATGGTTCCAAGACAAGGCACTCTGTGTGTGTGTGTGTGTGTGTGTGTACATGTATGCATGTGCAGGAACGTGTGTGTGTGTGTTTGTGTGTGTATGCATGTGAAAATGTGTGTGTGTGTGTGTGTGTGAGAATGTGTGAGAATGTGTGTCTCTCTGTGTGCGTGACTTCCAACTGTTTCTAACAACATCCTTGGTCATAAAACGGTAATCTCCCCCACACCCAATATATGGTTCAATTTCTGTATTGGTTCACCATGCACAACACAGTGAAGCCATACATAGGGCAGGAAGCTTACCAAACATCAAACAGAATCTTCACAAGAGATGTGTCTACAATAAAACCTCACCCAGCACAGAGTGGCTTGAGAGGTGGTCAGAAACAAAGGAATGTTTTGATCCTATAGATTGAACTAAGACTCTACAAATTTAAGAAACACAATGACAACATTCAACAATTAGACTTAACATGAACATAGCGCTGCTACAGTCAAACCAGAGAAGAAGAAAACAGACTTTACCATGAAGATCCTCAGTGTGGATCAGTATAATATCAGCCTTATGTCTGCAGTTTAGTGTCAGCACAACTTTCACATCATATTCATCTCAGCACAACTAAAACATGCTGACTGACCTCAGAGTTTCAAGTCCACATCCTGGAATCTCCAGAAAACGACAAAGCTGCTTCACTCCTGAATCCTGCAGCTTGTTGTTGTAGGTCAGGTCCAGCACTCTCAGATGGGAGGGGTTGGACTTCAGTGCTGCTGCCAGATAATCACAGCTGATCTCTGACAAACCACAGCTCACCAATCTGTGTAAAGAATGAAAGATGTAAGTTTATTAGACAAAGTGTGAGCTTGAAATCATTCAGTGTTTCATAATCTGTTCAGAACTGAAGAAGGTTCAAAATGTAGAAGTTTAGAAAATGAAAATTCCAAACAGCTGAAGCCAACAGGAAGCAGCTTCAAACAAACACCGCAAGAGAAAAAAATCTGAATGTTTCACATTAAAGTCGTACATTTCTAACAAGAGTATTTTAAATACAGGTTGAATAATGATCAACTTTTGCTAAGTAAAACTTTGGTTTTCCACATGTGAGTGTTAATGATGCTCATCACTAACCAGAGCAGACGTCTCTGACTGTCCAACACTGTCTCCTTAAAAATAGCACACGTCACAGTTGTTACACTGGATTCAACGTCCCAGCATTTCCTGTCTTGTTGGAGTTGTTCTACAGCAGCCTAGCAGCACATCTTTCATACTCATCAGTAATTGGATGTGTTTTTAATGTAGCGTGTGATGAACCACAGCCCTGACAGGAAGTCTGCTGACTCAAACAGGACAAACTGTCTCATTTATGTCTTTGACCATGTGGGGGCGCTCTGCACTGTTGGTGGATTTGTATTCAGGGTGTTCGAGCCGCTCCAGTTTATACTGAAATGTTTCTTCAGTCAAATCTCCAAAGAAGAGTTTATAGTCAGGGACATTCGATTCAGCTCCACCTTTAACTTGTAGCAGTGAGTTTTATTCCCACTGATCCAGAACGTTCATCTGTTCATTGCATCACATTTATTTTAGTGGGAGGGATTTTTAGCAGGTGCTGAGATCAGAGGCTCCAAAACCAGCGTTTATGGGACTTTTTGCATTAAAGATCTTTGTGTTGTCTCACGGTTTGTCCCCCAGATCAGTTTGGACCTCCGTTTATTCAGTCATGATCGGGGCCAGCTGGGCAAAAGGGGTAAATGCTTCCTTAAACAAACGTCCTGCCCCCTTAAGTCAAACTTTTGAAGTTAGTAAGAAAATAATATATTACCCACAAACTGGATATGGACAAGATTTACTACAGTAACTGAAAAATCTGCTAGAAAAGGCACAAACGAGATAATACATTTCACGTCTCATTCGAGCTCTCTCTCTCTGTGTTCTGTTTGTGTGCATGCGCTGGACTAAAGTTTATAAAGAACCTATGTCAAAGTATTGTGTTTAAGTTAAATCCAATTTATTAACCTACCTTTGAGATGAAGTGCAGCGGCAAAGAATGCTATGGCAGGCAATGAAGTGTGTTTAATGTGTCTCTGTTAATTTGAGTTTCCATAAAATGGCAATAAACAGGTATTTATGTTTCTACACTTTTATTTGCTGGGTTTATTTTGATGACACTGTTGAGGGCTTAAGTTATTTAATTTCACTCAATATGTGAGAAAAGCTAAAGTAGCACTGAATTTTTATGTTTAAGATACGGTGATATTTCTAAATGTAATTGCCTTTATTGTGTGAATGCTGTGAAGCTTTCACACGATTGAGCTCCTGTTTCTCTTTATTCTTTATTCTTCAAGTTGTTTCCATACGTTTTTCGCCGTGGATCAGTACCACAATTTTTATGCTATTTTTACCATTCAAATTTTAAAATATTCAGCTATTTCTGCTAATGCCAGCTTTATCTTTTGGTACTTATTATTATTATACTTTTTAAAATATTAAGCTTTAATGAAATTTATTGTCCCGTTGAAATGAATGGGAAACTTCCAAAACATTGCTAAAACCTGGGTTTTTTTCTAAACTTAACGACTTCCTCATACTTTTACGTAGAAACTCCATTCAAACTTTAAAATTTTCTCAAATTATTTGGCTATTCATGTATAATTCAGCTTTTTCATATCTGTTACCGTTTTATTTTTTATCGCTCTTCAAGTTTTCAGTTGAATCTTTTTGATTTTTCACAAAATGCATGCGTTGTTATGGTTGCTATGCAGTTTGCTTTGAGTGTCCCACTGGATTGATCTGAATCTTCTCTTCATGTCCGAACAACTTCTTGCTACTCGCTCAATTTTCACTTAACCGCCACAATTTATACATCAAAACGTATTTATTTTTGCTGGCTTTCAGAAAATGTCACAATCATTATATGGAAGTTACAGATTTTTGTCAAATCGCCTCAGAGCAACACAAAGTCTAAAAACTCTCCATAGAAACACAATGGAGAGTTTGCTCAAAATCACCAAAGGAATTATCTAACGGGAGGCGTTTTCAAATAGTGATATCTCTTTAACGAAACAATTTCAAGGCATGAGCATTTGGCCAATATATCTTCACACACTCCTGACACTCACAATTCAAGGATTTTCTCATCACCTATCCCTATTCTGCCATGAATCACACTTGTTTGAGGGTCAGAAATCTGTCCATCTCTCAGATTTCTTCAGATTTCAAACTCTTGAAATGAAGCAGTTTTTCCTCTCGTCATATCTTCTGCATGGATTTGCACAGAGACCTGAAAACTTCCATGATCGGTCATCAAAGCTTGCTCATTGTTACGGTGAAAGAATGATATTGATGCTCCAAAAAGATTTAACGTTACGAATCGATGTTTGAGACCAAGTCAAGGCAGTTTTCGCTTCTCCTCTACTCAGTTATGGTACATTACAAGTCATATATCTTTAATATTTCATATTTTAATTATGAATTGTCAAGACTTGAAGATTCCCCCATCTGTTCTGAACAACATGGTCTAAGAATGACAGTTCTAGCCCCTACGGTTAGGAAATTATGGCAGTTTGTTCGAGGGGAATCCTCAATATGAGAAATACACTGCAAAATCCTGTCTTTCTGTGCCTGTGTGTGTGTGTGTGTGTGTAAGGGCTGGCTTCAGCAGGTGCAGCTGTTTTGGCGGGAAAAACTACACAGCTTCTCTGATTGGTGGATTCAAATTGAGCAGCTCCAGGCTGTTTGACTGACCTAGAAACATACAGGCAACACAACAGCCCCTGTTCACCGTACGCTCTATTGTGTGTGTGTGCATGAGAGAGAGAGAGAGAGGGAGAGACCCTTTTTATTTGCAACATCTCATTGGTGGATTCAAAGTGAATAGATTCAGACTCATTGGCTGTGTCCCAATTCAGGGTATGCACGTTTGAAGTACGCATTTTGAGTGCGATTACGTCACCGCCACATGACGATGGCTGTCCCAATTCAAAGTGTACTTCAAATGTGCCGTCGATTTCCCCAAATATCAAGCGTGGTCCGGTGCACGCTTCGTGGTCCCATATATCCCAAAATTCATAGCGCGGCGGTGGGTGTAGATAATTTTGCCGCAAAATACGGCAGAAGGGAGCGGCCGAAGAGTGAACTGTCAAAAGTAAGTACTGAATATGATCTCACTTATTTATATGCGAATGTTTAATAACAAAGAACATTAAAACATTGTTTTTTGTTGTCAACTTTTTTGCAAAGTTGTGTGACATTAGTGATGTTTGTACTTTCAGCGTTAACTT